GTTAATAAGAATGTTCGTTCGATAAATACTGTTACAAGGAGATAGATATTTTTGCCATTTTTCTCGAGAAATAAAAATAGAGGTAATAATGGTAATAAGAAAATTAGAGAATAGATGTGTAAAGTGTAATAAAGAAGTAGAGAATGATAAAGGAAAAAGAGATAGAAAAATGCCGCTTGGTAGCAAGTCGACGACGTGCGCGTGCAAGTCCGATCGTGAATGGCGAGAGTCATTTCTTTTGGCGCGCGGAAGTCCGATCGTAGACGGCAAGAGTCATTGTTTTTGGCGCGCAGAACTTGTTGCTGGGCGCGCACAAACACATAATCGATTTCGACTAACAACATGGCATCGATGCTAGATGGCTAGATTGCGATACATGTATATGTATGTGTATGCGTATGTATAAAAACTCTATATGACTCTATATGAGTTTATTTTTTTTGAAATCGATATGTATCGGGTCGGTAATTGAGCATGACTTGCTGTGCGGTGTAGCTTGATTACTGTTTAGGGAAGCCGCGTAAATTTGTATAGGCCCCGTGCGTGTGCGTGATCAACCCGAGCTCCCATAGATCTTTTCAGCAGTGCTGGGGATCGCAACGGACAGTGGTGTGCGCGTGCGGATAGCCCTGCAGAGGCGCGTGGTTTTCTCGCTTTGGGGTTATTGTGAATTGCAGTGCGTTCTATATAGCCTCATAAGCATTAAATTTTTATCGCTGAAAGAGATCTAGTGATAGAAATTGTAAATTATTATTTGTCAATACAAATGTTGGTTTATCTTGTCAAAAGAGGAATGCTAATGTTCAATTGATATTTAAATCCCGATATAGATGGAAGAAGAAGGCCAAGATGCGCTGGTCGACTACGACAGCGATAGCAGCTTTATCACGGTAATAGATAAAGAAGCAAAAGATAAAAACAAGGAGACAGTAAGAAAAGATAGAGGTAAGAGAGTATTTTTTTGAAAATAAAGTAGTCCAGAAGAATATTATATATATGCATTCAAAGAAAATAAAAATAGTAATTTCAAAATTTCGTATAGAAGCAAAAGATAAAAAGGAGATGGAAAGAAGAGGTGCAATCCCGAAAAAGAACTTGCCTAAAGTCAGAGAGAATATAGATGTGACCAAAGCATGGGAAGAGAACCGTCCAATACTGCCAATTGGAACCAAAATATTATATGAAAAGCAAGAAAAATTGGTCGCAAAAATGGACAATTCGATGCAGATGCTGGATAAAGTAATGACGAAGGCCACCGAGATGATGGAGAATATGGTGGAAGTCTCCTGTTTAAACTTAGAGAAAGAAAAAGTTAAACTTAGACGTTTAGAGGTAAGCAATAAAGATACCCAAAGTTCAGTAGAAAACAGTAAACAAACGGTTAAAGAACTAGAGGTAGAGTCTAAAAAGAGAAAATTAAATGAAATAACAGTCTGTTCAGCCGAAAAAGATAGGAGTTTAGAGACAATGAAAAGAGCTATAGAATTGGAATTGAACAGTCAAAGGTTGCATATTAGAAGAGAATATAAGCTGACGCAAAAATCCAACTTTGATCTTTGGATGGATTATTTAAAATCTGAGTTAATGAATAACGAGTTGTTAGATGTAATAGATTCAAACATTGAAAGTCCAGAAAATCTCTTCGAACTAAAAGTTGCTAAGAGAAAAAGTCTAGTTAGAGATATAATAATCAATCATTTAGATGAAAACTATCATAAAAGGATTCTACATGAAAAAGATTCAAAAGAAATTTTGAAGAAATTGAGAGGATATAAAAAGAGTGAAGTAAACGTTACTCATGCATCGGTACGAGCTAAACTCTATCAAATTAAAATGAGAAAAGACGAAAAAGTAAGTGATTTTTGTGAACGCTTCGATTCAATAATTAGAGAATATGAATCATGTGAAGATGCGGTACCCCTCGCAGAACAAGAGATTAGATCTGCACTTTATCAGGCTGTGTCAATTAATGTACCAGAGCTGAGGAATGTAGATTTAATTAGAAGATAAACTAATCTTAAAGAAATGAACATAGATGAAATAAAGTCTTTTATGATGCAGTTAGAAGCAGAAATTAAAAACGAGAATAGAGAAAAATTAGAGAAACCCGAAGTCAAGGTACAGAGGGCTGCTGCAGAAGAGAACATGAAACAAGTAAAATGCTACAGATGCAACCAAATGGGTCATATGGCGAAGGACTGTCCACTAATAGAATTTGGTGCCTGGTTTTGTTACTACTGCCAGGAAGTACGAGGTCACAAGGGTGATAATTGTCCGAGTGCCGAAGCCCAGGCGAACAGAGCTAGAGGAAAAAGATATTTAAATAAAACCGTTAATAAAAACATAAAGAAAAAGGGTAGATTTGTGCAAAAAGGCACAAAAAGAATAGATAACAAAGGGAAAATAACCAAGATACAACCAGCTGAGAAACCTATATTAACGAAAACAGCAAATGAGGGAGAATCAGAAGAAGGTAAATAATACATGGTTAAATTAATAGAAGATAGAGATAGTTCAAAAGAGGTAGTCAATTTTACTGCAGATTCGGGTGCTACGGATCATATCGTGAATAAGAATTTTATTCTGTCAAAGTTTGAAAAATGTAAAGATAGAGTTATTAAATTCGCGAATAAAAATGAGCTTGCAAACATTTCAATAAATAGTAAAGGAAATATTACGCTAATAACGAATAAAAAAGAAAAGAGAGTCATTAAATTAACAAATGTAATTGCAGCAAAGAAAGTATCCAAAAATTTACTATATCTAAGAAAGTTGGCTGATGCAGGGTTCAGTATTTATTTAGATGATAAAGTGTTTAAAGTTTACAATAAACTGACAAATAAAATAGTTTTTAAAGGAATTTACAGATGTAGAGCAGAAATTGTTCCACATAGTGAGCTTCCTGAACAATCGCAAGCAAACATTCAGACCAATGATCTATCAATTTCGGAGGGAGAGTTAGATGAGAGGGATAATGTTGGCTCTGCGATTGGGAGGGAGAATGAAGGAGAGCTCACAAACGTGAACGAAAACGAAAATATAGAACACAACAATGCTGAACTCGAGCAAGTCATTAAGTTGGAGGATATACAGACAATAGAGAATATAGAAGAAATGTGTGAAAACTCAGTAATTGAAAAAGGAAAGAAACTAGAGAAAATAAATGAGGTGATGTTATGGCATGTTAGATTGGGTCATGCATCGTTAAACTATCTAAAACAATTACAAAAAGTAGAAAAGAGATTAGAGAATGTAAAGTTTGATAACTCCATATTAGAGTGTGAAATATGTATAATGGCAAAGATGGCAAAACTGCCGTTTAAAGAAAACAGAAATAGAGCACAGAAACCACTACAAGTAATACATACGGACATCATGGGTCCAATAAAACTTACATCCTATCCAGGACAAAAGAGATTTATAATCACTTTTATAGATGACTATTCTAGATTAGCAAAAGCCTACTCTCTGAAGACAAAAGATGAATCGGGAGAGGCTCTAGAGAAATATCTTATATCCGCCAGAAATCTACTAGGAAAAGAAGAAAAGCTATGCTATGCAAAGTCAGATCAAGACAAGGAATTTACGGGAGGTGCTTTTAAAGAGGTATTAAAAAGAGAAAAGATAAAAGCCATATTTGCATCACCGTACACTCCAAAACACAATGAAGTTGCAAAAAGGTTCAACAGAACGTTGAAAGAGAAAGTAAGAACATATATGCTCGACTCGGGATTACTAAAGAGTATGTGGGAGTTGACAGTTGATGCTGCTGTGCATGCGTACAACAGATCTCCACATAATACTTTAGAGTACGAGATCTCGTTGAAAAAGTTTTCATCAGAAACAAGTTGTCATTTTGAACAAATAAAGAAATTCGGATGCATTGGATATGCAAGAGTACCAAAGCCTACGTCAAAATTCGACAAGACAGCTATTAGTGTGTTGGTGGGATATACTGACACTGGATATATACTATATACTCTGGTATCCAAGCACGAGAAAATTTATAGAGTCATGACAACAGAGCAGCAAGAAACTGCACTAAGAAGGATAGAAGTTACAAACTTAAAATGTTTGATGACGACTTAGAGGAACTAAAGAAAAACTTAGAAGAAAAAGAAGAAACTGGAAACAGAAAACATATGGATGACACTCATGGAGATTTTATCAAGCAGTGTGTTGATTAAGGGAAGGTGAAAGTCGAATGGATTAAGACCAAAGAGAATTTGGCAGACATTATGACAAAACCTTTACCTCTCGAAGCATTTGTGTATCTGAGAGATAAAATAATGAATATAGAGTTTAAACAGAGTTAGAGATTAATTTTAGTCGATAACTAATTCTTGTTATGTTTCAGATAAAGAGGAAATTTAGAGAGGACCCGTGGATTGCTTGCACAAAGGGAGGGAGTGTTGGGAGAAGACTTTGAACGAGCAATAAGTTCCCGTTCTTCTAGAGGGTAGCTCCCGGTTGGCGGCGCGACTCGGCGCGCCACGCGTGTGTGCGGGCATCAGTGGTGCTCACAAGAGCCTCGATCACCGTCGTGTTCAGACGTGTTAGTTACGGTTTAAGTTACAGAGTGTGACATACTTATATATAGGGTGCGTTCGGGGAGCTCGCTATTAGCGCTATTCGGCACTATCGGTGTTCGGGGAGCACGCTACCAATCCAACCAACGCCATCGTGACGTCACTGTCGGTAGCGTTTTGACGTCATAATTCGCGCTACCGACGCTCTTGCCAAAGAGGTAGTGCACGAATAGCGTTAAGCGTTGATAGCGTTGATGGTGTCTCCCCGAACGCATGGTGACCGCATGTATGTATACAATACATACGAATCAGGTTAGGATTGAAGTGCAGTTTTTACCGAATCACACTTTATTTCTGCTCTGTTACGTATACTTTGCATGAAAATCATACATTAATACAATATAAATAATTGTGAACATAAATGCCATCCTGCTAACCGTTGACTTATATTTTTTACTGTTTGCAGCTAACTCGAGAATATTGTTTACTGAAAAAATCTTCAAATTTGCGGTTTTGCTGGTCGAATTTTTCCGGCAAAATATTAACTAGCGTCGTTTTGTGTTCTACTCTTTGCCGAGTCACATTCCTGTATGTTCGAGCGTTAATATTTCTGCTTCCTGTATACTTGTAAGTTTTGTATATGCGACATTTACTACGTTTACGCGAGCGCTACTTTTGTTGTAACTTATAATTTACTCGTTTACGCGGAGTAAATTATCGTAAGTTACTACAAAATCCCGTTTACGCGAAGGAAACGTAGTAATAGTTACTATCATAAACATAATATAAATGCGACATTTCGTTATTCTTAACATGGATTTTTGGTCTATTTGCAGTTGTGTTTATAAGTCATTGAATTACGTTTTATTATTTAAAATTAGTAATAACCGAATCTAAAAAAATGGAAGAAGAAGAAGTAATTGTCGCAGCAGCAGTGCTGGTACTGCGTAATTTAATTTATTCATCTGAAAGTGATGACGAAGAAGAAGTACAAGTAATAAGGAATCCAAGAAGAAAGGTTGCTAGAATTGAAAATTATGTTGAACAAATAATACCAGCATTAACAAGAGAGCAATTTAAAGCTCACTTCAGGTATAATTTACTAATTTTTTTTATACGGAGTTATTTTATGTGTGCATGCGTGTGTGTATGTATTTGTGTGTGCGTGCGTGCGTCGTGCGTGTGTGTGTGTGTGTAACATATATATACAAGTCATATTTTGTAATTATTTGTAGTTATGTAATTTTTAATAATGTTACTAAAATAGAAATATTGTATTTATGTATATGCATAATGTGTGATTTCAGGATGGTTCCTGAAACCTGTGCTTATGTTCTATCTTGTATAGAGCACAAACTACAAAGGACAACATTTGGAACACCAATGATTTCTCCACGCACACAGTTCCTTTTGGCATTATGGCGACTCTCTACTCCAGATTCGTTTAGGTAAGTGTTCATATATTGCAATGATAGTGTTCAATAAAATAATTTTAACACTTTTATTTTCATACTGTATGAAGGATTTCATTCTTTATGTATAAATGTCATTGGTGCATAGAAAGCTATTTTTGTCGCAAATGTAACTCTTGTTAAGTTTGCTATGTAATTTTTTACATGCGTTTTTTTATGTTTAGGTCTATTTGTGAACGTTTTAATGTTGGTAGAAGTACTGCACTGTACATAACAAGAAGAGTTGTTAAGGCACTTGTTGACCTTGCACCCGTCATAATTAAATGGCCTACAAGAGAACGAGTACATGAAGTGTGGGAGGGATTTCGAAACACGAGTAGTTTTCCAAAAATAATTGGTGCCATCGATGGAAGCCATATTACCATTCCAGCTCCGAAAAAGAATCCTCATTGTTACATAAATCGAAAAGGTCGTCACTCCATTCAAATTCAGGTATGTTTAGTGTTTTATTCCAATTGTTTGTTATCAAATTTTATGTAATTATATATTTTTTATGTGAATGGCTAAATGTTATCGAAACGTCGGCATAATACTGTTCCAAGATGTGGCCTTTCATACTTACGATATCAAGGAATTGCGAAAATTTAAACTACAATTTCTTTTTTTTTACTGTGTAGGCTATTTGTGACCATAAGTGTCTATTTACTCACTGTTATATTGGACATGTCGGATCTGTCCATGATCAGCGTGTGTTTCGCCAGTCTGAAGTTCAACATTACTTGGGAGATGAAACGAGATTTCCTCAAGATAGCCATTTAGTCGGCGATCAAGCATATAAGCTGCATGAAAATTTACTTGTACCGTATCGAGACAATGGTCACCTAACCGAAAGACAACGAAATTACAACTTTTGTCAATCTTCAGCAAGAATTGCTATAGAGAGAGCATTTGGGATATTGAAAGGAAGATTCCGATGTCTTTTAACCACATTTGCAATGGATCGGGTTGATCTAATCCCTATGCACATTCTTGCGTGTTGCATATTACACAATATTTGTCTGATGAGAAGTGATGAATTAGATATTGAAATAAATGTGGACGAAGAAGGCGAAGAAGCAAATGTAGCGGATGAAAATGTTCCTCTTCCTGGAGCAGCTGTTGCCAAAAGAGATCGTATATGCCAAACGTTAAGAATGAGACATGTATAAGTACTTATATATAATATTTGTAAACTTCAGTTACTCTGTTTTCAAAATAAATGGTTTAAATACAAGTTTTATAATATTAAACTGTACATACCAATATATACATATATGCCTTTGTAGAATTCGTACAAAGTTAGTCTGCTAAGTATACATAGCTTACCTTTCCATTTCTTATCTAATTTTAAAACGTCAATTGGCTCCCTCACTACACTTGTTACTAGTTTAGTATCTTGCTTCTTTTTCTTTTTGTTTTCTATTGCACTCATGTAAAGTTTAATTTAATACAACTGTTCTACAACCCACTAGAACCACAAATAAATTCATAGAATAATGAGAATACTGATTATAATTGATTCTATATTTTACTTTCATAATTATTACTTCATTTCATATAACATTAATAAAATATCTAACTTATCTGTTTTCTGTCCGGTACATTTACGCACAAGTAAAAAAAATAATTCGTTTTCTTTACAATTATTTTTTTTTATTAGATATCAATTGCAAATTATACCAGTATACAGTATTGCCTGAAACAAGCATAGTATGCGAAAGATAATATATATGTATCATAATAAACAAAGCGCAATAGTATAAAAAATTTTTTATAATAAAAGACAAGCAACTCAGTGAGCATATTTTATAGAAATATTCGTAGAACGCGACAAGTGTTACATACACATCTGCTTAACAAAGACTCCTTCTGTATTACATATTTCTAAGTCATCAAAAGAACTATTATATATTCTTTAAAAATCTCTTTCTTTAATATTGTAACTTTCTTATAAAGCTTTATCTTTACGTATTATATACGTAAAGTAACATATTTGTTGTAATACACATTTCCTACCACATGTATGGTAAGAAATATTAATTACAAGAAATATGTAAACAAACACATAAAAAACAAAACACAAAATTTAAATCTAATTTGTTTTTATATAAATAGTAATGTAGCAAAAAAAATTAATTAATCAACGAATGTGTTTGGCCCAAAAGCGTTGGAGATAAAAAAAATTATTAATCAGCGAATGTGTTTGGTCCAAAAGCGTTAAAGACAACTTCGTAGACTATGTATTAACAGGACGTCAGCGATTCCAGGATCGTGTTGTGTCACCATCGTGTGCAGAGTAACGTCGCATTTTAACGTGATAGTCTTTCGAGTAGTTGATCCAACTTGTTCATTATTTTTTCATTTAATTGTAGCCTTTCCTTATGTCTTCTCTCCTTATTTTCTTCCATAGTTTTTTGGTCCATCGTTGCATCACCCTTTCGTTTACCTGCAAATATACATAAAAATATTTTTTTAAGCTGTGCATCTAAAGAATACGTGTCTTTAAAGCTGGTTCTACATTAATCGCAAGTAATTAGTTGCGATTTAAGATTGCCAATGAGCGTTGAGCTTTATGTAATGCGATGCTCATTAATTATCGCAAGTCGCAACCGACTGTTTGCAACTAATGTAGAACTAGCTTTACTATAACTTGGATTAGAGTATTATACATAGTCTACAATGGCCGTAGTAGTAAGCATCGAGTTTTGTATCAAATTATTAAAAGTAATTCTTAATTTCAATCATAATGCAAATGTATGCTGACTTACGAGACACTCTAACATTGGATTTGGAAGATTGATCGTCAGAAGAACTGCAGAAGCTTGTATTTGCTACTACTTCTGTTTCTGTAGCAATAGACAAGCTCGTATTTGCTGCTTTGTGTGTTTCTGCGCCAGTAGACGAAATAGTTGACATTGGTGTTATATACGGCTTTTCACCGAGAAGATTCTCCATCACCTGAACAGTTTATGCACAGTATTATTAACTTTCGTCGAAATAAAAAAGATAGTGTCACTATTTTATACATGTATACATCGTATACTAACATCATAATATTTCCACGTTCGCTTATTATTTCCAGATTTATTGTTGTGATCCTTCACATTCTTGTATGTTCTTTTCATAGTATTTACTCTGGTCGTGCATTGTTTGGCTGTTACAATGTATCCTTCGTTGTTTAATACTTCAGCAATTTCTTCCCATGCCTTTTTGTGACTGATTTTACCCGAATACATGGCTCGTTCCCGCTGTCTATGCTTCTAATAAAAGCAAAATCGCTTCATGACTCCATCTCGTAAAACCACCTGTTCGGCAAATAAAGATATTTAATATATATTTTATGTATTATGCATGTATAAAAAGATTACAAACAATATCTGAAATTTACTTACCCTCCATCAATTCTTCATTCTCCATTGTGCTTGCATCCTCTTCATTAGTTGTTACTGATGCAAAAGAATCCATTTCTCCTTAAAAAAAAAAAAAAACGTTTTTTAAAACATTAATTATATATAAATTATATAGAAATATATAAATATAAATATAATCATATAATAAATTAAACCATTAATTAGGAAGTAATTAAGAAGAAGAACAAATTAAACAAACCTGATGCTTCGATTGAAGAAAACGTATTTGAAACGCAAGGGGTAAGTATATTTTCGATTCCTAAAAAAAATATATAAATAACTTTAAAAAGTTAAGACAAGAAATGTACCAATGTATTAATATTATTATAATTATATACAATAATATATTATAATATTATGTATAATATTTTATTATGTTTTTAGATAAACTAATATGTACGTATCATATATAATATTATTTATGTCACATGTGCCAGGATAAAAAAAATTTTTGCCAAGCATACAGATTTGTTATTAATAACTCACCACTACCATACCTCTCATTCCGTGCATAATTAAGTAAATCTGTCCTATAAGCCATATCTAAATGCAAGTAAAAATTAAAATGTATTAAGCAAATAGTGAAAAAAGAGACAAATGTAAACATGTAATAATGAAAAAAAAGGATGAAAGAAATAATTAAAATAAAAACATTAGTTATAGGATTATATGACTATTATATGATTATAACAGTATTATACATGGAAAAAAAGTGTAGCACAAGAAAAACAATAGCCCTGATATGCATCACAAACAATTAAAACAAAGACTACACAAAGTAAAAAATAGTTCAAAATCCACACGTAGAAGTAAATAAAATAGTTATAAAAATAAGCCAAAAAGTTAGTTATAAAGATAAATCTTCAAGTAAACTGTTATTCACCCTTTCTTTCTAACATTTATCAATGCTCTTACTTAATTATGTAACATTCAGTGTCCGTTGTAATAAAAATAAAGCGAAAAAAATAAGTCGAAACTTTGCAACAGTTAAATAAATAAAAGTGTAAATATTGATCTGCTTTATCCAGTACTTTCAACTTACCATTTTGCGCTCTTTTACACTCCTGTGAAGTAAGTAATAATGTAAACGTTTCTTGTGTATCTTCATCATAAATACATAGTTTTACACGATCCATGATCAACAGAAACCGCAATTAGACGCTGATAAACAATATTTCCCGAACGAGTTAGTTGCAAACAGGAAAGGATCTTACTCAACAAGGTTAACTGAATGATTTTTTGTTCACAATTATCCAGATAATATATTTTTTCTATGCCAAACTTAACAATTATACTTACAGAAA